ACACATACATTTCTTTAATTCTGCAGGGCTGGGAGCTAAAAGTTCTGTTTAGTCCTCACTGCCACCGCCCCGCCAGGTAAGACCACTAGCTTTATCTTCCCTTCCACGACTCCGGGTTTGGCCTCAACCCTGACCTCGGAAGACCACCCACCTGCGGAAGCAGCTCCCAGCCTCCCTGTTTAATTGTTCTGCTTTGTGCAAAGAGAGGAGCAGGCGTCTTCGCCGCACATTCTCTCCCAAAGTGCCCATTTTCAACAAATGGGTTTCTGTTCAGACAGGCCTGGGGCCTTTGTGTCTGCAGACACCGCAGGAGTCCCTCTGATTATGACAATAGGGGTTCAGCCACGATGGGAGATAACTGCCTAAGGTGTACAAGACGTCCCCCCAGGGCATCCTCCGTAGACGCAGACTTGGCTTTTAAGAAGAAAGGTAGTCACAAAACATTACCTGTGGCGGCAGTCTAAAGATTCTTAAGGTATAAAGCTGGGGATACATATTTTTAAAAGCAGCCTAGTATTTCTGCTCAGTGCTTCCATCTGTCATAAATTCACATGCAAGGCTTAAGGGTGGGTGCACATATGTTTATTCCAGATGTTGCAAGCCCAGGATACTCACTTGTTCCAGTTCTTGCTTTTTTCAAACTTTTGGAACCTGGGGCTCCTTCCCCATTGAGTCGAAGCTGAGCTGTGTCTGGAAGAGGCGAGACAAGCAGTGCATCTAAGCAACAAGCTTCTGGCTCAGCCTTCCCCAAAGCTGGTGTTCTCCAGATCTCCCTGTTGGCTGGGAATGATGGGCGTTATAGTGCAATAGATTTGGAGCAGCTCATAAGTAAGGGAGGCTGCTTTAGAGCCTGGTTTTTAAAAAATGCTTCCAGAGAAATCAGTGTCTAAAACTAGAACGTGAAATAGTGGGTGTGTGGGTGAGGATTTTTTTCCTGTGCAGTTGCTTTCTCTCAACAGGTTGGTTCATGCTAATGCCAAAAGAATGCATTTCTCTATTGCATAGAAGCACCGTTCGAAATATGTCATTGTTCTCCACTTTCCCACTCCCTCAAAGAGGCGGGCATTCAACAAACAGCCTCTGAAGGATATTGGGAAGAAAGAGCGTGATAATAAGAAATTCCCTTAAACGTTCTCCTCCTACTACCTGTAATAGGACTTCCTGTTTACTGTCAAGATCAAAGAACTAGGAGGATCTATACAGGACTAGTCTGTCAGACAGTATCTGTTTCCTAAAAATAAGCACCCTCTTCTTCCTTCCAGCCTTCAGTAACCCTCCAACTGTGATTCTTTGTTCACTTGTTCATATTATCCAATGTTTTCTCCTTGGGCCCAGCTTGAAGAGATGGAGTGGCATCCATTGGCCAATAACCATCACCCTTCAATGCTGATTTAAGCTAGCTACATCCAACCATAGCTCTACTGTAGTTTCTTAACAGGCCAGTTTTGCTACTCGGGAGTTCAACAGAAGAACTGTTGGCCTCTTAAGGAAATACCGCAATTGGCTTCCAAATTGTAGCATTTGACTTGTTCATTGAAGAGGTGTTTGTCTCCGAAGAACTATTCATCCATGCAACTGGACAATCAAAGTCACTAGGAATTAACCCAGGTTTGTCTAAATTACTGGAAGTAACATGATATTCTTTCTTCCAGGGTTATCAAGTAGTTTCAGCTTGCCTACTCTTCAGTTCAGCATCATGTACGTAAGGAGAATATTATTTCTCCCTACAAGATGCTGAAGTCTTCTTCTCACTTCCTAACTTGGCTGATCACCAGGAACAGATGATGACAATGAATTTTAAGTACTAACTCAAGGCACAGAGCTAATCAATAATGTAAAAAAAATGAGCATGTTGTTTTTTGTCTCCAAGTGTTACCCTATTCCCTCGAGAAGGATACAGCGCTGAACTATGCAACAGCTGCATTTTACGATCTCACTCTTGTGCAATTAAAATGAAGGCTTTCCCGGTGAAATCATTGTGAAATTGGCTTTTATCGTTCAGGTCTGGGTTGAAAATGCAAAGTTATGTGTTTTGGATACTCACGCTACAGTTCCATTGAGTCTTTCCCAGTTGGACCACCTTCTCTGGATTAGACTGAAAGCCTACTGCTGAGATATTATTCATTTATCCTGATTATTACAATCACTATTTAAATATGGCAGACTGTCAGGAGAAGATATTAAGACAATCATTATAAAAACTGTAAGAACATCCCTACCTATTAGAGAAGCCAAGGTGCACTGTATTTTTCAGGGGAAGACCCCTGGGCTTTGAGAGACATGCTGGAGATCACATTCTCAAAAAAAGTAGGTGGGGTCAGGATAATAAAGTGTGTGGAGCTAGGGCAAAAACTAAGTAGCATTCAGTAGCATGCAGCTTCCATTTAGCTGTTATGTCCAGTTGCCATTGAGAAGGCTATGTTTCCATCTGAATTCACTTAACCCCTTCTAAATCCATCTCAGCCATCACCAATTTGGATGCAAAATTGTTTTTTTCTGTTCTAGAATTCTAGAATCAGAGAATTCCTGAGTACATCTTTTCTGTTCTGCATCTCTCCCCAGTCAGTTTCCACTGGTTGAGCCCAAATGTAAGAGAAGGGAGAATTGTTCTCCACCCATGCCTTAGCATTCCAAAGCCTTCTAGATGCAACTCAACTTGGAGTGCCTCCTTTTATATGTTTAAGCAGTGCACATCAAATAGCAACTGATTCTCCAAGTTCAGCCACAAATCCTCTACGTCAACATCAGCAGATGCTAGCCTAAAGTTCCCAGAGGAATAGGCTTAACATCTGTCAGTACTAGAATTAGGCTTCTAATCTAAGCCTAGATTCAGCCGCAGCTTCTAGCTGGACTGGTCCATGTGAAGAAGAAACCACCTCCAGAACTCAAGCCATGCCTAAAGCCACCTTTGCAGATTTCACAACTGAAGCACTACTGAATAAACAAGGGTGAAGAGAGTAAGAGGGAAGGCCAACCAACCGGAAGAGGAAATACTTAACCCTGCTTTTTTTCCTTGGCTTGATTTAATCTAATCCCTTGAGCATGTTCAGAGGTTGGCCAACAAGATACACAAAAAAGCAGACATTTAGTAGGAAATGTTAAAATAAGGTTTTTGAAAATACAGGAGAATCCCCCATCTTAATCATCCAGGAACTTTGCTTTGAACAAATCCTACTCCATTGGATCAACTTAAAGAAAAGTTACATATGGAAGCTTGTACAGTAATTCATTCCTGATCATTTGTGAGCTGAATTGTTTCTGTGTGTAAGCCATACACCTAGAGAGGGTTGTTATAGTCAAGTCAAATTAATTGGTATATAATCATAAGAAATTGGATAAACAAAAAGGCGGCAAAGAATAGGACAAGTTCTCAGGGGGTTAGTTGACATTAAGCTGAGGAAGTTGCAGAATGTTTTAACTATCAAAAGCTCAAACAGTGGAAAAGAAAATGCTCTGTTGTTATGAAAGTTATAATTTAAGGATGAGGTCTAATTTATTGGCAAAATAATGGAGGGGAACATTCTGAACATTGTGTGTGTGTTGAGGTAGATTTATTCTGTGCTGTATTGTACTTGTGTGTAGGTATATGTCCCAGATGATCATAATGCTACCTCAGGAAGAGCAATTAACAAACAAGTCTTTGAAGGTCTAATAACTGGAGTGCTAAGAATCTTGGCTGTGGTGTTTGGATGTCTGATGTCCAGTGTACCTAACAGTAATAACCAGATCTGTGCACCAAAATTGATTCAAGAAATGAAAAACAAGACCTCACAAGCTGAAGTTTTTAACAACAGGATACAAGATCTAATCAGGTAAGAGACCAATCCGTTGTCCCTAACATGTGTCTTTATTCCAACCTCCCCAATCGAGTGCCTTCCAGAGGGGTTGTGACTACAATGCCCAGAATTCCATTGGTTGAGCTGTTTTGGTATTCTTGAGTTGTTGTCCCAACCCTTTTGGAAGGTACTACGTTGGAGAAGATTGGGCAAATGAAGTCCTTCATAAGACTGTTGGGACCATTTGCCACCTCCTCTCTTGGAAGTGTTTTATCCATGGCTATATCATCAGCCTTCGTTTGAAGGAGAGCTGAGAACAAGACAGTTTTCTCCTTTGGTGAAGCTGTGGCCAACAGATTGTTGATTCCTCCCTTCTCATCACAGAAGACAAAAGGCCCATCCTTTGGCTGAGGTGAGACCTCATGATACATTACCTGTATCATTTAGCTCCTCAGAAGCATCTGCAGTGACCACAGTCCCTGAATTAGCTCTTCCCTCCTTGTCCCTTTTCCCCTGTGTTTATTAAATAACAGGCCTTTATTTTAGATGTGCTGTATTGAGGTCTGTGAGCAGAAACACAGTGTATAAATGTAGGAGACAAATTAGGAGTTCTCATATCCTGCCAGGCAATCAGTCCATACTGCTGAGTAGTCCATACTATAACTTTTGGTAGATCTCCAAGCTCGAATCCTAACCTCTCTTTCTGAATCTACTAACTGAGATCCTTTTAATTGAAGATGCCAGAAAGTGAACCTCTGAACCCTGACCCATCTTCTTGAATTAGATCCATTGGCCTTCCAGCCTACACTCCAAATCCCAAATCGAAACAGAACCCTAAAGAACATTCTTCCAAATAATGCTGAAAAATAAGGGTCACCTTGTTCACGTTGCCCAATTAAAAACATGTATCAAAAAAACATCCAGAACGAAGCAAAAAAGAGTTGGACTTCTCTTGGATTTTAAATCGCTCATCAGCATTCTCTCCTTGAAGCCTCTGTGTCTAGCAAAGTTATTCTAACCTGTAATGCATGTCCTGTACCTTCCAAGTTGTTACACAAAATGAATTTCCAGTGGCCTTAATTAGAATGAGCTGCACACTCTTGGCTCCCTGCTGTCCACGCTTGTTTTCTTGTTACTCACAGTTGCATCTCCTTTAAGAGACAGTCAGTTCTTGATTGGATCAAGCAGTCCTTGATCTTTATGGTTAATTGAAATTAGCCTCTGATAAGCCACTATGTAAAAAAGCCCTCTTACGGCGAGTTCTACAACAAGCTGGTCCTTCAGTCATTGGTTTCAGACAGGACAGAGGATGTCCATCAGAAGTAAACAGACTAAAAGTAAAGATTGTGTCTCAGTGGGAGGGAAAGAATAGGTCCTGGGTTCAGGCCACAACTTCATCAAGCAACCTATTAGAGGACCAGTGGGCTCAATCAGTATGGTTTCCTGCCAGGGATATTCCAGGTCTTTCTTTGGTTTTTCATTCTAGAGCAGTATTTCTCAACCTTGGCCACTTGAAGATGTGTGGACCTCAACTCCCAGAATTCCCCAGCCAGC